TATAGATATTAAGAATATATATATATATATAGGAAAAATATTAATAAATAAATACACAAATTAAAAAAATAGAAAAAGTATTAAACATCTATCTTAAAATGTTAAATATAGATATTAAGTAAAATAAAGTAAACGAAATGGAAATACACAGTATAAAGAAAAATAAATGATAAGTAAGTACACAGTTTTAAAATGAAAAATAATGATAATCAGTAAATATGTACACTTAGTATACACATCTATCTTAAAATGTAAAATATAGATATTAAGTAAAATAAAGTATAAGAACTGGAAATACATAGTATAATGAAAATAAATAATAAGGAAATACACAATTTAGAAAGAGGGTGGGGGTGGGGCTTTATTCATTTATAAGTCTTGGTGTGTGTTTGTTACGTGCCCCTGTTACGGTTTTGTGTTGTTTGTTTTTTTTTTTGACTCAACTACCACTTTTCATTAACCAATTCAATGTCTTACAAATGGCTTATCAGCCTCAACACAACTAAATAACCAACCAGGCACAATAGAATACAACTTAGGGACAATGGACGTAAACGTAGCAGTCTCCTTCGCTATTCTATCGGCAACTTTGTTACCACTCCGCGGATAGAACACCACATCAAAGCCTCTATTCCAGTCTAACAGAGTACTGATCTCTTGTAAGATGGGCTTCAGCTTTGGCCATATCTCCTCCTCTCCTTTAAGCATTTTCGTTAACAGCAAAGAGTCGGTTTCAAAAGTGACGTTCCTATAGCCAAAACCTGCAAGAGTCGGTTTTGTGTTGTTTGTTTGTTTTTGTCTATTTGGCGTTACGGCTTTTATTCAAATCTAAAGGCTTTCACCAACTTGGTTGAGGATACATATTATGTTGTAGGGCTGGGATTTTTATCCGGGATTCAGATTCGATTCGAGATCTGTTATGGATCCGCTCTGAAATTAGGATATCCGGGGATGTCCGGATCCAGATCTGGATAGTAAAATCTTGGATCCGTGCAAATCGAATCCAGATCCGGATATCTTAAATTTTAGGTCAGGATATCCGGATTCGGATCGATATTTTTAAAAATATATTAATTTTTTTATTTTATTATTAATTATATCTGATACATTAATATTTATACATAAAATAATATTCTACTTTTATATTAATAATATTTATATATATTCATAAATTATGTTTAAATATTTAATTTAAGTATTATTTGTTGATTGTTTTTTAAGAAAATTAATTATTTACAGATCCGAATCTAAATCTGGATACCCACGGATATTAAAATATCTAGACGGATATTCGGAGCCCGGATATCCGGAAGACACGAATCCGGATACTAAAATCACATATCATACGAATACAGATACTTCAAATTTCTTGGATATCCGGATTTATCCCATCCCTACTATGTTGTGACAAATGTTGGTAAGTAACTCTTTGAGTTATATGGTTCAAGATGATCACTAGTTACTGGTGAAAAAAAAACTTATGCATTTGATTTAAGCAAAAGAAGAAAGTTTATTTTACGTTCTCGCGTCAAAATAAACTATATCAACGGTTATTTTTAGCGCAGCAAGATAAACTACTTCAACGGTTTCTAATGAACTATAATATTGAATTTATTTTAAACTGTGCATTCCATTAAATTCACAATTTAATTCTTTCATTTTTTATAAACATTCTATTCAAATACAAGATAATGTTTTAGTTTATTTATGTTCTCGTACCAAAATAAACTAATTCAACAGTTATTTTTAGTGCGCCAAGATAAACTACTTCAACGGTTTCTAATAAACTATTCTAACGGTTTCATGTTGATTTTTCTCAACTGTACATTCAATTAAAATCTACAATATAAAATTCAACTACCTTAGTATATATCATATCTAAATACAAGATAATCTATTAATGTTTTGGAGATTTAGATTTATAATCAGGATTATTTTTGACCAACATATCAGGTAAGTAATTTATTAAAATTTGACCACTAATTTAGATAAGTATTCTAAGATTTCCTTGGTATTCCTACCACAAATTTCTTATCTTCTTGTATTTACTTCATAAATAAGAGGATAAGAGACTAATTCCCTAATTATTGCTTGTAAATGCTTCAAAATTAAAATTAAACAATACGGTTTGTTTGAATAAATATGAGTTATAAACTTAAGAAATTAAAAAATTATTGATCTCTTATGGAGTTATAATTTTTAAAATGACAAATATTATCTAAATATCCACAAAAAAATTTGTAGAAAAATGGTTAAATCCGAATCTATTGATTAAAACACACAAATCTAATTCTGAGTGGAGATAATGTTCACGGATATACATTTTTTTGGACATTCAAATGGACCAAAAATAATAACCCATATCCATATGGCTAGTAGATTTGAAACTAAGAATTCACCATATTAGATATATTTCTATCAAGCGCCATTAGACTTCGGTTACCATCCACAGATATTTTTGCGACAATATATCTACGAAGATGACAAAAACGCTTGATACAGTCTTCAACATGGATGTTATACACTAACAAAGAATCATTTTATAACATTCAGAAAAACAAAACCAGAATCTGGAATAAAAACGTGTAACAGACTAATATGATTTACTGGGAAACAGAAGATTTAAAAGCAACTAATCTATAGAGAAGCAAAGGGAGTGTGGTGATGATGGAGAGGGTCGGATCCAGTCAGAAATTTTCTTTCTTCAGCTTCATTAGCTGATCCAACATCAATCTCATGCTCCTGTTGTCACAAAATTTAATCTAATGATATANAATAAAAACGTGTAACAGACTAATATGATTTACTGGGAAACAGAAGATTTAAAAGCAACTAATCTATAGAGAAGCAAAGGGAGTGTGGTGATGATGGAGAGGGTCGGATCCAGTCAGAAATTTTCTTTCTTCAGCTTCATTAGCTGATCCAACATCAATCTCATGCTCCTGTTGTCACAAAATTTAATCTAATGATATAGTTATTCATCAAAATAGAAAAGAAAGGAAAATCGAATAACATATCCCTAAGTTGAGTACAAACGAATATATGAAATACAAAGCTAGCTAGAAAACAAAGGTTCTTTTTAGGTGAAAAATGAGAAAGCTAGTGTTCATTCCCTACAAAAAAAGGTCGCTTCATAATCATTGTTTTGTATAAGAAGAATTATTTACCTTTTCCATGACATTCATATCTTCTGTTTCTTCAAACCAAAAGAAAGCTAGAAAGAAATAGAGGAGTCGCCATGCTTAAGAAGCAAGGATGGAGAAAAGATTACTTAACAAATTAAAAAAAAGATGACTTAACAAAAAAAAGGATGGAGAAAAGATTTAAAAGATAATTAAGAGCGACTTACATGTTGTAGAAGAAGAGTGAGCAAGTGGACATTGAAGAAGGACGATGAAGAAGAAGATGAATGCGAAAAATGCTTCCTTTGTATCTCATCGCCGCCATTTTCAAAAAATGAAAAACTTCACTTGTGGAAAAAAGGAGTGATGAGTGACGCGAGCTGTCGTATAGGACAAGCTTTATAATTTGAATGGACACATATTACCGTTTACAGGCCGGACCCAATCAGACAAACAGATTACCGTTTTCAGTTTTATATTTGTGATTTTTAAATTTTGATGAATATTTCACTACTACATCTGAAGAAAATGATGTGAAAAGTGGTAGAAAAATCAAAATTATGTGATTTGGTGTTAGTTTATTTTTGTTATTGACAATTTAGTACAATATTTTTTTGTTTTTGGTTTATTTTGAATTTAAATTTCGTTTATTATTTACATTAAACATTTAAATATTTATGAACTTTATGTCATGATTTTTTAGATGTCATAACTCTTAATTATTATATAAAAACTATTCTAAACTATTTTTGATATTTTATATGTCAAATAAAAAAAATATAAGACTAAAGTTAAATATTTGTAAATGTTTTTAAACATAAAATATATACATATCTAAACTATTATTGTATGTTTTAAATTCATTTAGAAAATATTAAACTTTAGTTTTTTATTTTTATTTTCCTAGCTAATATTTTGTTATATAATAAAATTAATTTATTTATTAATCTGCGTTTTATCCGCAGTCGGCCCAATGACCCATATTAGGACGTTCGAAGATGATTTGTAATGCTAACTCACAAAGCTCGGTTAGCCTTTGTGGTTTATCGAGTTTAGTATATATATTGTAGTTATATATGAAGTGATTGGCGGGTGACGTGTAAGTGATGTTTAAGATAAGATTCATTTTGATGGAATGATAGGCCTTACCTATATATAGTAGTTATGGAATATATTTCCACTGCATACAAATGAAGTTCATTGCTCGAGATATTGTTAATATGTGTTGGGGTATGGGATTAGATTCACTGAGTAAACTAGTTACTCATGACTCATTGTTGATGCAAGTTACCACTAGGCGGGAGACATCGCTCTAGGATGAGAAGGAACAGCATTAGCTAGTGGTAGTTTTGTCATCCTTGCATTGATCCTTCGATAACTCTTATGTATAAAGATTGTTTTGATATCTTTAAGTTCGACCAATAACATTTATGTAAGATGCTTTTGAAAAATTAAAATATAATATATAAAGACTGTTTTTTAAGTACGGGTTCCATATGATAATAGTACTTGTCCGGACGAACTAACTATTGGGTATTACTTGGTCGGGTTGCAAAGACACGGGTCATACCTAATAGGATATGTGTACTTGGGCATTAGTTTAAGGTACCTGAATTTGTTCCGAAAACTTTGAGTTTGTTTATGTGCATATTGTAACTTCTTTGGTTTGGTTTAAATTACTAGTGATTGGCTATACATGTGTTTTTGTTCTTTGGTTTGATTTGGTTTAAATTACTAGTGATTATCTGTGCATATTTTTGTTTGATCGTTGCATGGCCGGTCCAGTAAACTTATACTTAGACCATATTGGGTTTAAAAACATTGAGAAAAACAAAAGTGATGACAAAACTTAGGTGAAAAACCCATATGTTTAATAATGGGCCCTTATATAAAGAAATTAGCCCAGCCCATAATGTTGAGTACTAGACTAGCTTAAAACTAACCATATTTGTTGGGCAATTGCAGATACAAAGCCTCATATCCTTGATGGAAGAGTTGTTTTCACATACCATCTCTGCAACATTCTACATTTACATTCAGTCTTATGGATTTTACAATGCTCAAGACCCTAATTTTCAAGTCCAATTATGTGATCACACAAAAGTCATTTATAAATCCCCCCTAAACAAAATACAGTTTCCTTATCCATTACAAGTTTCTGAATCTCTCTCATCCATTCACAGTGCCACCACCATCTACACCTAGTGCCCTGACTCCATCATCTGCGTTTTAAGACAAAAAAAAAATCGTAGCCACCACGTTATTGCCTCAATTCAACAGACCGCATGAATATAAGAGCAGTAAAAAGGTATGAACCTGAGGAGGCTTAGAAGGGCTCCTATCAAATATAACCGCTTTCCCCGTCTGATAGTTCTTCAAGCCTTGCAATTGCATCCACAAGAGCTTGCTCATGATCCTACCATTTCGAATTTAAACTATATAGTCAGCTTTTTCTTTTCATGATGCTGTGGAGGTGGGGGACTAAACAACACATGAATGAATATGGTTTCTTACTCTTAGCACTCTCTTTGCCTTCTCCACCTCTGCTGGACTGGCGTTAACTGATCCAAAAACTTTTTCTACCTGTGACAAATATTTATATAAGTTGATAGATCGAGAAGAATTGTTAACATTCATTCCCATCATTTAAACTTGGGTGATACCTCTTTTAATAGTGTATCAGTGTGGAGTATTTCAATATCTCCTAAAGCTTTCTTCCCGATGCCATTCGGTGCTTTGTGTTGATGTGTCTTCATGTTTCCCCTAGCTCTACCAACGGCGTTGCTTGTAGGACCACCACGAGACATGGCCTTTGCATTTCCAAGGCCTTGCCCAGGATGTCCTCCTTTACGAGAAACCCCAGCATCCTCACCTTCCCATCTGATATCTCCCGGAGATATCTATGATACATAAAGAAAAGAACAATCAGAATCCAAAGAATGAGATGACCTCTTTAATAATCAAATGAAGTAGTTCTGGATTATTCAGGGGGTGACAGTAAGAAAGTAAAACTAAAAGCGTTATTACCTCTTTAAGATTTACCCATTCCCAAGTTTCATTGGGAGTGTTCATGTCATACACTAAAGCATGCCGTCCCTTTATCAAGGTTGACCAAAGGAAAATTTTAATATCAGAAAATGGAGATTTGACACTAGAACATTATATTATATATGTCAAGGTAAGATAAGATACCTCAGCGGGGTTGTATTTAGTTATAATAGCTTCATAGAAATTGTTGTCTTCAGGCCACTTTGTCCACACCTTCTTTCCAATCAAGGGGTCATCTGATCCTGTTTCACCTGGTTCATGTGCTAATGCTCTAGACTGGGGCCTTCCAGCAATGTTTGTAGCTGGGAACTGCATAGACTTCATCATGCACAAATAATGAAAAAGAATTGCATCCCTTAGTCAACAAGAAATAGAGAGTTGAGAGCAGTATTATGACTTACTGTCTTTGGCTTCTTGGTTTTTGGACCTGGTGGAGGACCTCCCCTTCTTAGCGCAGACGAAGATGGTTGCAACGATGGGTGCAGAGCAGGAGACGGCGGACCCATTGCTGAAGAGGAGAATGGTTGTGATGTCTTTTGCTTCTTACGTGATCCAGAAACAGCTGGACTCGGAGCAGTATCATGAACCATCTGCGGAACACCGGACTGAAGGCTATTCCCTTTTCTCCATTCCCTGAAATGATTCAGAATTTAACCTCATTAGCTAGAAAGTTTCTATAAAGATTAATCACATTTTAGAAACAGACCTTATTCGCCTGATCATTTCATCAGCATTAACCCTAGACAACAGCTCTCTGTGCTCCTCATCAGACACCCCAAGTTCTTTTCTGAGTTCAGTGATCAAACCTTCTTTCTCCTATTCCCACAGCAAAGGTAGTAGGGTAAGTTACATAAGGATGGATTTAATAACGAAGAAGACAAGTAAAAGAAAGTACCCAGGTAATGGCATCAGACTGAGCTTTAAAAGCACGGAGTATAGAGCTGTATCCTTCTTGCTCAATGAGATGAATTTGAGTTTCCATGTCATTGTGCATCCTTGATGAAGGCGCAGAATTTAGAACTGAAGAAGGCCTGCCATTACCAGCCGGTCTTCCGCTTCTTTGATATCTATTTTGATGTGATGGAGGTAGGTCATCATCCGTGCCTGCGTTCCCACAGGAAAACAAATATAATATATAGTGAATCAATATTGAAGAACCAAATAAAACACACTTTGAGAATGAAAAATGGAACACAACTATATAAAGAGCATCCTATTGTTATCAGAAGAAAGAAAGATAATGAGGACACAAACTTAACACCTTTGAAGAAACACAAGACTCACCACTACTATCAGAAGGTCGGTAATCCATTTGTGTCCTTTCTTGATGACGACGACGCCTCACAGGAAGCTAAGAAAACAAAACGTGGTGCGTGAACTGTCTAGTTGCACCAAGCTGCAACAGAAAAAACGAAACTTTTAACGGAGGAAAAAAAAAAAGCTAAAACCTTCAACTTTTAAGGTCAAAGCTTGGACAAAAATTAACCATGAAAACCTCACAAAAGTACAGTAACTCATAGAACAAACAAGATCACAGTTCTTAAACTACAGATAACCCAAAAATCAAGAAAAAATTGTTTCAAGCAAACCTAATCATTAAAGAAACCTAATTTTAACCTAAAACTTCTGAAAAGTATTTCCAATTCGACAATTAAACATAAACCCTAACATGACTCTAAAGATGAACCGAACCACACAACTCCAATTACACAGAAAAGAATGCAGGATCAAAGAGAAAATTTACCTTCTTCGTAACTGTTCTTTTGGATCTACTCCCGAAAAACCATAGATTTGAAGCGAGAGAGAGGACAAGAAATCTTGTAAAATAAGAAGATCGAACCAAAGGACGGTTCTGGTAAAGAAGTTTTCCTCACGCCGGTTTCAATTTCTGGAAGCTGAAAGTACGCAGCGAAATTGAGAATTTGCTGAAACACACACCGTCAAGGATTTTTCCGAGAAATCTATGAGCCGCGGACGTGAAACTACAATTCTTTTGCCCTAATTTTTTCCCCAGTTTGGTTTAAGTTACAGATACGACATCGTTTTGACTTTCACCTCGTATCTCTTTTGGTTCTGTCTTAAAACCGGTTTACTTTTATAATATTTGGTTCGATTTCATACCAACAGGCTATACATAACGACAAAAAGCAAATGAACCGACATTGTGAAGCCGGTCGGAACCAGACAAACCAAGAAAGGCGGTTCGGTCCGAAAATTAAATTCAACAAAACTTGTAATAAAAAAATGTGAAAGAGGAAGAAGAAATGTTGTTGCGTGTGTGTTGTCCGTCGTCTTTCTTCCACATCCGACCGCTTCATCTCTTCACTTCCTCTTCGAAACTCCCTTCTCTCCGCCGAGAGTTTCGTTTAGTTCCTTCCCGATCTTCTTCTTCTTCTTCTTCCTCCAATCGTATGGAGTCTTCATCTGCTTCGTCTTCGTCTCAGACGCCGGTAACGGCTTTGGAGACCGATTCCTTAGCGAAGGATCTGCAGAATCAAAATCTTGATGAAGGTGGTAAGATGAAACGGAAGCTCGAAGATTTTAACTGGGACCACTCCTTTGTTAAGGAGTTGCCTGGTGATCCCAGAAGCGATGTTATTTCCCGTGAGGTAGTAAAAGGATGACTTTTTTTTGTTGTTATGTGGTTTGATCTGGAACCATCAAGTTTGTATTTTTTATTTGTTGGTTGAGTGCTAAAGATTTTATTTTTGTAGACTTTTCTATGCAATTTTGTTGATAGAGGATACTTGTTTACACGAAAATTGAATACTTTCTATTGGATTTTAATTGTTTATTGTAATTTTTGCGCGAGGTTGTATTTTGATCTGGCTATGTGGTTTAATCTGAAGTCATCTATTTGATGTAATTTTATTTGTTGGTTGAGTTCCAAAGATTATATATTTTTGTAGATTTTTCTTGTGCTTTTTAGCTCATTTGAAGACTACTGAACTGATCATTGTTACATCTTGTTAAGTTAATTAACTCGGCTGGATTTTGATTGTTTATTTGTAAACTGGTAGGTGTTGCATGCTTGCTATTCAAAAGTTTCACCATCAGTACCAGTAGATGATCCTCAGCTTGTAGCATGGTCTGACTCTGTTGCTGAGCTATTGGAATTAGATCCTAAAGAGTAAGTTTGATACTAAAGTCCGAGTCTTTTGTCCCAATACTTCATTTCACGGTTATTAATATTCTGTTGAACTTTCAGATTTGAAAGACCAGACTTCCCTCTCCTACTATCTGGTGCTAAACCTTTGCCAGGAGCGTACGTAATCCCAACTCTAATCTGATTTTAGGTTCAACCTTTAAGTATCTAATCGCAGTTTATTGGTATTCTTTTTGTTTCTACAGAATGCCTTATGCACAGTGCTATGGAGGACACCAGTTTGGGATGTGGGCTGGACAACTAGGTGATGGTCGTGCCATAACTCTTGGAGAAGTTTTGAACTCCAAAGGTGAAAGATGGGAGCTTCAGCTTAAAGGTGCGGGCAAGACTCCTTATAGCCGTTTTGCTGATGGGCTTGCTGTGCTGCGTAGTAGCATCAGGGAGTTCCTTTGCAGTGAAGGTATGCATTTTCTTGGTATCCCTACCACTCGTGCACTTTGTCTCCTCACTACAGGTCAAGATGTCACTCGCGACATGTTCTATGAGTATGTCCTAAACCCTATTTAACTTGTTCCTTTGTTGTCTATAAATTAGACTTTTAGGTGGTTGACTTCTCCTATTGTTTTGTAATGTATGTTTGTAGTGGCAATCCAAAGGAAGAACCTGGCGCAATCGTTTGCAGGGTTTCTCAGTCATTTCTCCGCTTCGGCTCATACCAAATACATGCTTCTAGAGAAAAAGAGGATCTTGAGATTGTTCGGAAGTTGGCAGACTATGCCATCAAACATCATTTTCCACACATAGAGAGCATGAACAGAAGCGACAGCTTATCTTTCATAACCGGCAAAGAAGATGATTCCGTTGTGGATCTAACATCGAACAAGTATGCAGGTAAAATTTCCTAACGAACTATTCATTAAAATGCTGCATGAGACTGCCATTTCAAACCACTAATGATAATACTCTTCTGCTTCTTAAAAATTTATATTAGCATGGGTTGTTGAGATTGCGGAGCGTACAGCTACCTTAGTGGCAAGATGGCAAGGTGTAGGCTTCACTCATGGTGTGCTCAACACTGACAATATGAGCATTTTGGGTCAAACTATAGACTATGGTCCGTTTGGGTTCTTGGATGCTTTTGATCCGAGTTTCACCCCAAACACGACAGACCTCCCTGGAAGAAGATACTGTTTTGCAAATCAGCCTGACATCGGCTTGTGGAATATTGCCCAGTTTGCTAAGTCTTTGGCCGTTGCTGAGCTGATAAATCAAAAGGAAGCAAATTACGCCATGGAGAGGTAACTATAGCGCTATTCTTGATTCTATGCTAGGAAGTATTTAGTGGTTAAGGAGCTCGTGGTTTTCAGGTACGGTGATAAATTCATGGATGAGTATCAAGCCATAATGTCAAAGAAGCTTGGTCTGTCCAAGTATAACAAGGATATCATCAGCAAACTTCTGAACAATATGGCTGTTGATAAAGTCGATTACACAAACTTCTTCCGCCTTCTTTCAAATGTCAAAGCAGACCCCAACACACCCGAAGATCAGTTATTGAAACCCTTGAAAGCTGCTCTCTTAGACATTGGAAAAGAAAGAAAAGAAGCTTGGATCAAATGGGTGCAAGCGTATATACAGGAGGTAAACCGCTAGTCTACTTTCCACAAAGTTACTATCACATTGTGTATCTCTGTATCTTTCTGGCTGTGCAACTCCTTGTTTATGTGTTTGGATTTGAAAATTGCAGGTGAGTGGTAGTGACACATCAGATGAAGAAAGAAAAGCAAGAATGGATTCAGTGAACCCTAAGTACATTCTAAGGAACTATCTCTGTCAAAGCGCAATAGATGCAGCTGAACAAGGCGACTTCTCAGAGGTCAACAACTTGATCCGTCTCATGAAAAATCCTTATGAGGATCAGCCAGGGATGGAGAAATATGCTCGGTTGCCTCCAGCCTGGGCTTATAGGCCAGGCGTCTGCATGCTTTCTTGCTCCTCCTAGTTCTCTTCCTACTTTTGTTTTTCCATTATAGAAAGGAAGAGGAAAACTAAAACACTCTTTATATGTGTATTGGTTTGTAATGCATTATATTGACAGGAAAACTTTGGTATTTTCAGTATTTTTTTTTGCGTTGAATAAAGATTTGAGTACGTATCAATATCCATGGACAAAGGGACAAACAAAAACTAGCCTCTTGTTTTCTTAGTTAGTTTTGTCTCTGGAAGGCTGGGCTATAGCTTTTGGTGTGTTTCTATATAGGCTTGTTTGTTCATGTTGTTCAATGAAGATTTGAAATCATTTTATGAATGGGAAAAGCTTATTAATATATATGGAATGAACGGGTGAGAGACCATTACACAATCTTTGTTTTTACGTCTTTCATATCTCATCATTCAACAACATTCGACTCGAGTTTAGTAAAAAATGATTATCTGGCGATGTCCGATGCAGCTGCTGAATTGGCAAAAACCCAAAATGCAACCTTCAAGCGCCAACGAACAAACTGAACTGAGCTTCATCTCCAGACACAAGCTCCTGAGCTCACATTCTAGTAACAGAGAGAATCACACAATATAGTTAAAGCATGATCTCAGGGAAAGCTTAAAACAGTTTGCGGTGGCATACCTCTCGATAGCACGAGGACTAATGGGAACCACACCAGAAGGTGTCACAAGGGCATCGATCAGAACATCATTAGGTGTTACAGGAATATTTCCGTCCTCAAGAATCTGAGGTGAATATGACAATGCAACTACAATAAGAAAACAACAACAACCACTGGTGATTAGCTTATCTCTCTATTGAAAAAACATTCTGTAGTATCAGTTTGATTTCTATACCCTTGAGTGGATTGCTCCAGCCCTTCTCCTTTGCACGGTCCTGGTATCTCTTCAAGAAAGTGTCGTAGTAGCTTTTTTCCCATATTCATTATCCATATAAATAAGTTATGTCAGAGCATGAAAAACAGACAAAAGCATGTCTAACTGCAAATGTACACTATATCTTTTTGGATGAAGATAAGTAAAAACTCAGACGTATCTCTTCACGTTATTATTTAGATTGAAGAATTGGAAATGAGATCACTTATATAGGAATCTATAGCACTATGATGAAAAGAAAACTTGGGGCCAGTGGAAACTTACCCACCCCCACGGCCTAATCGTCGCCCACATTTGTCAAACGCAAGTCCTGACCACAAGGTATCGGAAGATAAGTTGATAAGATCCAGAGATTAAAGATAAAAACATGGAAATGAAACGGTTACTCCATACCTGGCAAGATGAATAGATCGATTGGTTCCTCTGCTTGTAACACTATCCATAGAAAAACAAAGAGTCATTTCTAGCCTGCAATATAATACTAATAAATGTGAAGCTTAGACAGGGCATTACCATCTTCACGCTGATTCCCTTGAGCATCAACTGGAGCTGGCTCCAAAATGTTCATAGAGTTTGCAATGAGGTCATCCATATGAGATATGTGCAGCATACGCATGTTACTGTTCTTATCCTCTACCCAAGGGACATATAGCTTTTTCTGTGCCATTGTATTTGGATCTAAATAAGAAAAAAAAAATGCAAATGATCAAAACTCAGAGCACAATAACATTACGAGCAAGTTGCATTGCTGAAACTAAGAAACTCGCATTGAAAGAAGTAACCAATAACATACAAAGAGATGCAATTTTTCATTTCTCCTTAATAGTAAGGCACATGCCATTAGACCAATCACTAATCACAAATAGTCATTGAAGTGTAAAGAGTTTCCTTTTTTTCAGTTCTGACAGGTACAAATGAGAGCTCAAAGTACTTGTTAATGTCGCGACAATTAAGTTCAAAATAGTCCTAACAAAAAAAGGATGAAAGAGCAATTGTAGTAGTAGTACCAGTTTGTTGCAAAATCTTAGACAAGATTTTAGAAGTGTCGACTTCATTAAGAGACTTGCAGCTAATGTAAGCACACAATCCCCGACATGATTTGAACCAAGGAGCTTCAAGAACAGTGTTTTGAATGGCATCATCTAAATAACACCAATCAAGATAACCGGAGATTAATATATATATGTTCACAATATAAAACAGAAAAAGATTGAACCTTGTTGGATTCGGAGGGAAGGGTCCATGGCTTTTAGGGATTTACGGACAGTGGAACGCACGACACGTTTCTGCTTGAAAATGGAATCGAGCTCCTCTTGACTTTTGCTTGTGTTGGTGCTCATGGCGACTGTAGTTGCGGGTGAAAATCTGTAAGTGGGTCGGGTCAAGATCTTGGAGGAGAAGAAGATTGATGATGATCTTTGTAGTGATGTCTTGATACAAAAGACGCTACCTCCATTCATTAGAAAACTGTTTTTTTTTTAATCTATTGTAAGCATCTGGTTCTTTGGTCCATTTTCGAGTTTTGTTTCATAGATACATAAACATCTTTTACACATTATCTGCAATTGATTTCAGACATGTTTTCTCTTCAATCAATTTCACTAAAGTAAAAATATGATAGATATAGTATAAATGATGGGACTACTTTATAGTTAAAGGTGATATGTATAATTCCATTTAACGATGATTTATATTTTTGATAAAAAATTATAATATAATAATTACTTATACATCAACGTTAAAGTAAAAATATTAAATATGACATTACATAGTATAATAATTCAAATTATTTAATTCTATTTTTATAGTTATATGATTTTTATTACTCAAATATTTTCAACATTTTATAATAGATTTAATATATATATATATTATACAACTTGATTTAATATATTAACCAAACATATAGGTAAATTCTATCTGAAATTGTAATTTTAAATATATACATACTCATGCTTATTCTTAGATATAGTTTACTAATTAGATTTTGAACCGTACGGTCACGTGAAATTATTTATATATATATATATATATATATATATATATCTATAATTTATATATTTAAAATTAAAATTAATAATTTGATAATATTTTATATTATTGTGCATCATGCGACTCATACATTTCAAGATACTTCTACTTACTGTAAACTAATATGGAGGAATGTACCAGACTATTGATATCTTTCTCTTTATTTTTCATTTCCAATGTTGTGTTTGTTTTTTAAAAAAACCACAGCACTGTTTTGTTTAAATCGGTTTAATCTTACTATAAAACATAGTATCGGAGTCCAAACATATCATGCCTTGACTGAACTGAAATTGATCATGCCCATCGAAAGTCTTCATCGATCTTAAACTGATTTAATCTGAATGGTCTAACGGTCTAACCAAACTGAATTGTTGAATAAAATATTGTCGAGATTAATGGTTGTAAGAACTATCATCTCGAAGAAGATGTGAGAATATAAACTTTTATATCAAAAGTTTAAATTGGGATATGAATAAAATATAAATGGATACGGTCAATGTATTTACAACCAATTGATACTAGAGTAAAAGTTCATCTAACTAATGTTAACAAAATCTCATTTAAATAGTCTAACACGATCCACATCAATTTGATCCACATCAATCTGGTCCACAGTGACCCTTTAACCATTTTATGAACTTATCAAAATTAACATTCAAAGATTCATCATCTCAAAATAACATATTAAACATAAAATCTCTCAAATCGATAGTTAGAAAAAACTATTCTTAAAATATATAAAATAAATGTGTCAATCTACATATAGCAAACACGTTTAATTTAACAACATCATCGTAGAATATAAGAAGAACTGATAAATTATATATCATTTCTTGATCCCTTCAACAAATATATCAAATGAATACACATATTTATCGTTTTCAAGATCAATTTCCATGCATGTAAAAGTTTTTGTATAGATGGTTACACTTCATTTGTTATGAAGCAAGTATTTATCATACAACAACCCAAAAATCTGTTTAAAAGATTTAAGAGAACAAAAATATGAGACTATATTTACAAATTTTCCTTTTTCATATCTTATGTCAAGATCAATTAAAAAAATTTCCCGTTTTTTTTCCTTCTATCATCAATATCAGAGAAATTAATAAAAGCTTTGGAAAATTATGTTCAAAAATTAATACATAATCAAAATTACAATTTGAAAAACAAACAGAATATTCATTTAAAAAAACATAGAAAAATAAAACAATAGGGGCAAAATTTTATATAAACGATATATATAATTATATGCCCTTAATTAATTTAAGAGATTTATACAAGAGTGCCTTTTGATTTTAAATTACTAAAAAAAGAAAAAAATGACCAAATTCCAAAAAATTGCATTTCCCTCTCGCGGGAGTATTTTTTGGCTCCAAACTACTTTTCAACAAAAGACCGCCAGTCCTCCAAGCTCTCTGAGTTATAAACCAAAACGGATCTCTCCCAGAAATGAAAATCCTTCAAAATCCACCGTCGAATCTTCTACTCAATCGTCATCCACCCCAGCGATGGAGAGCCAACAGAAGCGCCAGCGAACAACTCGCCTCGCCGAAAGAAACTTGAAGCGAAAGCTCTCCCGTGAGACAACAGACGCGGCGTCAATAGTCATGGAGATCACGGAGGTCGAAGACGAAGAAGCAGATCTCCTCGTCTCGATCCGCCGCCACGTCGAGGTTTTGAACTCCGGCTTCTCAGATCGCGAAGCTGTGAAAGAAGCTGCTGCTGCTATCTCCTCTCTCGCTAAAATCGGTAAGGCTAGTTCTTAGTTTCATAACGGCTTGGATTTGCTCAATCTTGTGTTAGATGTGATTGAATCGATATTATATTTTGTCAATTGATTTTTGAAATTTTAGATGTGATTAGTTTGGGATTAGTTTTATATTTCTCTATCTGTGTTTGTGTAGATGAAAACGTGGAGATGATGGTGGAGAATGGAGTTATTCCTGCTTTGGTTAGATATCTAGAATCGCCTTGGTCTTTGGCGAGCTGTGAAAATGTTCCCAAATCGTGCGATCATAAGCTAGAGAAAGACTGTGCTGTTTCCCTTGGACTTATTGCTGCTATTCAGGTAACTGAATCTTTCAACTGTGAATGAGAAGTTGTGAATTTATCAGTTCTTGTGTGTTTGAATGTGAAAATCTTACACTGTTGTTTATTTGTTACATAGCCTGGTTATCAGCAGCTCATTGTTGATGCTGGGGCCATAGTCCCCACTGTGAAGTTGTTGAAGAGACGAGGGATTTGTCTTGGGTGTATGGAAGCTAATGCTGTCATTAGGAGAGCAGCTGATATCATCACTAATATTGCTCATGACAATCCAAGGATTAAAACTAATATAAGGTATGGTTTGTTGTCTGATAAGCCTTATGGTGTTGGTCATGGCTATGGTGTTTTCACTTGACAATTTTTGCAAAACTCTTTTTTTTTCAGGGTTGAAGGTGGCATTCCACCACTGGTTGAGCTTCTAGGTTTTCCTGATGTTAAAGTACAGAGGGCTGCTGCTGGGGCTTTGCGAACAGTTTCGTTTAGAAATGATGAGAACAAGAACCAAGTATGTTTTTGATGTGATGATGGTTTGTTTTTTGTTTGAGCTTATGAGAGCCATGATTCTAACATTAAGAGTAATTGTGTAGATTGTGGAGTTGAATGCTTTGCCCACGCTTGTATTGATGCTTCAGTCGGAAGATCCTTCTATGCATGGCGAAGCGGTAGGTTCTTACCTTGCTTTAGATTGCTGCAGTTTGTTTGCCTTGTCTAGTTCCTTCTAATATTAAGGAATTTTTCAGATTGGGGCGATTGGAAATCTTGTCCACTCATCTCCTGACATCAAGAAAGAGGTTATCCGTGCTGGTGCCTTACAGCCAGTGATCGGTTTACTTAGGTATACTTATCTTTATTCTGCTGAACAGATGTTGGCTCCTGCATTTTGTAATATCTTTAGTAACTTTTTGCTATCTTCTACAGCTCCACTTGTTTAGAGACACAGAGAGAAGCAGCATTACTAATAGGTCAATTTGCTTCGCCTGATTCAGATTGCAAGGTATGAGCTAGTCTCTGTCATCACATGCTGTAGTATAATCTTGACGTATGCTCAGCCAAACTTAGTTTCTTTTGACAATTGGATGCAAATTAGAGAGAACTTGTTAAACATAGCTGGCAAAATGATAATGCAGGTGCACATTGCTCAGAGAGGTGCCATTACACCATTGATTAAGATGCTTGAGTCATCAGATGAGCAGGTCATGGAAATGTCAGCTTTTGCTCTTGGTCGTTTGGCTCAGGTACTTATGTTTTTGAATTAGCATGTGAATGTTTTTGTTACGTCTGGAATCTGGTTCTTTATGGATGATTGTTAAATCATACCTTTTATGTGATGACAACAAAAGTTGCAATTCTATTTTTTGCTTGGCACATATCTTTATATGCCGGCATATTCTCAACGCAATGCTTTTAAATACTGCAGGACACACACAATCAAGCTGGCATTGGACAAAGAGGAGGCATTATCTCACTACTAAATCTTCTTGATGTGAATACTGGATCTGTGCAACACAACGCTGCTTTTGCTTTGTATGGCCTTGCGGATAACGAGGTAAACTAAGCTCACAAGTAATAATTTCATTACAGCTATACTTTTTTGCAAACTGTACATAATACCATGAGTACCTAAAACAATTTTCGTAAATAGGAAAACATAGCAGATTTCATTAAGGCTGGAGGTATTCAAAGGCTTCAAGATGACAACTTCACCGTTCAAGTATGCATTTGACTGCTTATGCTTGCAAAACCAATCTATAGCATTTCCAAATTCTGATTGATATTCTTCTCTTTGCAGCCGACTAGGGATTGTGTGGTGAGGACACTGAAGAGGCTAGAGAACAAGATTCATGGACCTGTGAGTACCTACCTATATCTGTTAGACCTACTGGTTCTTAGTGAAGTATGGCTTTGGTTTTAGACCCCTGATGTCAAACCCTTTTTTTCAGGTACTTAACCAATTATTATATCTGATGAGAACCACTGAGAAGACTATACAAATGCGAATCGCTTTGGCTCTTGCACATCTTTGTGACCCTAAAGATGGAAAATTAATTTTCATTGATAACAATGGTAACAATCTCATTTTACAGAATTTTATAGAAAACCCTTATTTTTGTTTGGTTTCAACTGTTTCTGATCAATAGACGTATTACTAATGCAGGAGTAGAGTTTCTGTTGGAGCTTCTATACTTATCAAGCATTAAGCAGCAGAAATATAGTTCAAGAGCTTTATTCGAATTAGCTAGAAAAGCTACATCCTTTGCACCAGAGGACGCAGCTCCTTCCTCACCCACCCAACGGGTAAGAAAAACTTTTTTTTTCAATTTTAAAAACTACATGTGACTTGTGGTCTTGAATCGTTGTTGATTGTAATACTGAAGGTATTTCTGGGTGAGGAGTTTGTGAACAACCCTACTTTGTCTGATGTCACATTCTTAATCGATGGTATAACAATTAACCCTATCTTTGTTTCTCTTAATTCTACCTGCGGATAACACTTTCTAACTGATTGTTTCCATGCCATTAATTAGGAAAACAATTCTATGCACACAAGATCTGCTTGGTAGCTTCCTCTGATATATTCCGTGCAATGTTTGATGGCCTTTACAAGGTAAAATTCTGAAGTAATGATCTGCGGTGCCCATTTCAGCATACATAAATATAAATCAACTAACTTGAGAATTGGTTTTAGGAACGCAACGCCCAAAACGTGGAGATCCCAAATATAAGTTGGGAAGTGTTTGAGCTTATGATGAGGTAAGGTTCTATAATTATCAAACATTTAAAATATTACCTTCAAAAAAGTTAAAGATCTTAAGCATGAAACACACAAAATGTGCAGGTTCATATACACAGGAAGAATTAACATCACAAAACATTTGGCTCAAGATCTGCTTGTTGCAGCTGATCAGTATCTTATTGAAGGCCTCAAACGCCTTTGTGAGTACACAATCGCACAGGTACAAAAAAAAGAAGCAAAAACCGAGGTCTTCTTATCGACTTCTTATCTCTGTTTACAATAACTAAATGGAGTTTACAAATGTTGGTGCAGGACATCTGTGTGGATAACATACCGATAATGTATGACTTAGCAGATACATTCAACGCTTCAGCCTTAAGACGAGCATGCACTATCTTCGTTCTTGAGCATTACACTAAGCTCAGCTCTGAAATATGGTATGCCATCAAAATCATAATAATTTTTTTTTTGTGGACATTTTAGCTTTGGTCCTTTTTAATAACTGAAATCATGTTTTATTTTATTCTCTAATGCAGGTTTCCCATGTTTATCAAGAAAATTATACCAGAAATCAGGAGATACATCACAGATATTCTCACACGGCCAGTCCAACCTAGCTCAACCGTTGTATAAAGCATATAACTAGTAGTAGGTTTCCTTTTTTGGGTTAGATAACCAGATTGTAATCTTGTTGCTCAACTCAGTAATATCAAAAGGCCAACGAAGTTATTTTCTGTATTGTTAATTAATATAAGTTACTATCACAAATGGCTCAGAAAATTAGACTAACTCAACAAGTGTACAATCAGTGTAGTGTCAACTAATCAATTCTAACAAGAGGAAGTATTGTAAGCATCGTTCTTAAGAATTTTCGTTACCAAAGAAAGGTGTTGTTCGTTCTAGTCTTGTGAAATAATTTGGTTCCGAGAAACACATTACACTTTAGACATCCATGCTATGCATAATCTTTGTTTCGGTCAACAGACTCAACACTAGCAAAAGTCAAAGCCCAAGAATGGAGTTTTTACAGGCCTTCAGGCCCATTATCGCTGACGCGAGAGAGAGAAGCATTGTGGTTCTCGTAAGTCTCTCAACACCGCCATTGCTTTGTTTCCTCTCGTCACGTTTTCCATTTTTGGGCATTATTACTTCTACGCTCACAAAAAAACTTCAATTGCCTACCTCTATCTCTCTCTAAGGTATTTCTTCGCATCCCAAATTTACAATCCCATTATCAATAGATAGCTGCTAAGTACGTTTCTTTCTTCATCTGTTTCCTGGAAATTTTGTTTTGGAAATTCCCACTATTGCTTGTTACGTTCAAAACTGTGGTTTGATAGTTAGATTTGGAACTGGAGTTTCTCTGATTCGATCCTTGTATCTGCAAAATCAACGCTTAAATTCTCCAATTCCTTGAAAGCTTTTTTAAGCTAAAAAAAAATCAATTTTCCTGAATCTAATTATTTTGGTTGGATCTAGGTGTATAGCTATTACCCCACTACAATAAAGTGAAATCCTTTGATTATTATATTCAGATTCGGATCTTCGTTCTGTTATATCAGCTTGATCATCTTTGTTTATGTTAATTAATGATTTTCGGTTTGATTTGGTTTTGGTTAATCTTGTCAACGTTCCTCTCTGCGTATTCATTAATTAATTTACTGTTTTTTTTTTTGTGTGTGTAGATTCTTGATGGTAAAAGCATATAGACAAGAACATGTCTACAAGCACCCATGGGAGCGTGTAAGTGCTGCCTCATGGAGGAAATTTGCAGACCCCGAGAACAAACGCATCCTCTCTCATATCCTCGAAGTCGACACCTTAAACCGGAAGCTAGACACTGACACTGGGAAACTCCACACCACTCGCGCCCTCACCATCCACGCTCCTGGACCATGGTTCCTTCACCGCATCGTGGGACAGGACATCTGTCACTGTGTTGAATCAACAGTTGTAGATGGCCAATCACGTTCTATGCAGGTATCATCATCGGCTTCTTCTATGGCATTTATTAGTTGTTACAAGACAGAAACATAGATGAGTGTTTAGATTAAGCTTATATTGCACTCAGGGTCTGCAATTTTCCAATCAGGGGTCGGATCTGAGATTTTGGGGGTTTGAAACATTTCTTAAGAAGTCTATAAATTTTGGGGGCCAAAGTCAATGTTTATGGGTTTTATTCCTATATTAAAAATCTCTAAAAAATTTAGGGCCAAGACGAATGTTTTTTCGGCTTTGTCCAGATCCGGCCCTGATTGCACTAGTGTTTGATGAAATTTTTGGTCTATTAGTTATAGCAAAAAAATGAATTAACCATAGAGGAGTATTTAGTTAAGCTTAACATAGCATTTTGAGCTGGTAAAACGTCTTAACTATTTCGCTTTAATTCAGCTCACAACAAAGAACATTAGTCTACAAAAGTTTATTGAAGTGGAGGAGAGGATAAGGTATGATCCTCATCCGGAGAATCCATCGGCATGGACGGTTTGTAGCCAGGAGACAAGCATTAGGATCAAACCCTTGTCGGCTCTGGCCTCGATGGCTGAGAAAGTTGAGCAGAAGTGCGCAGAGAAATTCATGCAGAATAGCGTTAAAGGGCGAGAGGTTATGGAGAGGATTTGTAGGTATATGGAAGCAGAATCAGCTCGTGTCTAAAGGATCCAAACAAGAAGGGAACACTCAACAGATTCCAGTTATCTTGTTTTTTTTTTTTTAATGTTTTGTAGTAATTCAAAGACTACGTGTTGGAGTCATGGTAATAATAAATCCATGAGACAGTTAAGATCAAGCTTCTGTTTTTTTTTTCCTCCAGTTACTTCTCTTGTTTTTGTTAGCAACTCGATGTTTAGCTGAGAAGCTTTCTGTCCAATTTTTAATCCAATTTCAAACCGGTGCATTAGACTTCTAGTGGTTCTACCTTAACCGGTATTTGATGGTACAGAGTACAAACAAAAACATGTATAATGAGAAGAAGGGATTTGAGGTAAGGCTGGCATAAGAGAATGGAGTATGTATGACTACTACTAGGGTTATCACATTTTCACATTCATTCAACAAACACAAAAGTTCACATTTATGGTAGATTGCTTACAAGGTATTTAGAGACTATGAAATGTATATGAATTATTGTTATTATTCATAAATGAATAACTACGTTAAAATTATTAGGATACATTAATCTCTACACAAGGAAAATGTAATATTATACTTTTTATTTGTATAATGTACTGAGAATTGATACGCTCAAAAGCTGTAAGAGATTTAGAGATTAAAAAGAAGAGTAGATTTGCATTTGGGTGAGAATATGCTCGAAATTTTCTGTAGATTTTTCGATGGGATGCGAGTGTACTCCTTCGTAGGTCGTCACTACAACTTCTTGGTCCGCTGTTAATCTTTGCACTTGCTTCTTTACATTGCATCCTCCATATGTGCACCTATAGTAACTCCTGCACATTTATATTTAAAAGCCTTTATTGAAAAGAACAAAACTATTGTTCCCATATTCACCAAAAATGACTGTTAGATTGAATTTCATTCAATCTATATGCAGACTAGTTAGCATCAATAATATAGACTTGATGTGAATGAGATTTACATATATTGATCAAAGTATATGTCATCAAGTTTAGATCATTGATCTAGCTCTACAATTAATCAAATCATATGTGCAAACTAGTTAATTACAACCAATTTAGACTCAATCTCTTGTCTCATTTTATTTTTTTAACATATATAAAGAAAAAAAATAATGTATAAAGGGAAGAATGAAAAAAGAACCTAGGGAACTTGTTGTTCTTGACGGCTTTTTGACCATATTTTCTCCAACGATAACCATCATCAAGAATATCCACTTGGCTTCTTGTCTGAAACGCAAACTTTTGTTTCTTCCCCTTCTTCTTTTTCAACTCACTGCTTCTCGAAGAACCTTCTCTAACTTTCGAGCCTTCTTCTCTGCGTTGTTCCAACTCCGGTGTAGAAAGGTTCTGATGTGGTTTCAGCGACAGAAACGAAGCATACAACGATCCATCATCACATCCCTCCATGTTTTTAGTTAACACTTGAAACTTATAAAAATACAAAGAGCGATCGACCTAATTAAATTTTTAAAGAAGAAGATTCTTTTGATTTGTTTGTTTGCTTATAAATTGTTAGATATTTCGTGAGAAATCATATTATAGTTTACTCTATATTTTATAGCCATTTATGCCTCGTGTTATGGGCATACTGCGAAGTCAAAGACGAAGAGGCGGCCCGCTGCTAATCGTGAAAGCAGAACTAGAAGGGGCAAGTGTCGTAGACGACACGTAAGAATTAAGCATTTGCATAAATACGTTTTATTGTAAGTTAATTAGGTCATAACCCATTAATCTATACATTTGCAAATATATTCTTATACACTTCTACACCTAAAGCCAATAAGCTCAAGAGATTCTTTCGGATTGCTCTACTGAATTAATTGTCACGAGTATTTATCAGAATAAAAGTATATGTGCATATGTTTTTCTATACACGAGAACAACTATAGTATATTATCGTGATCTTCTCTTGAGAGTGCCTTAAATTGACGCATTGATAAACATATATCTCACGAGGTATTGCAAAATGGAGGAAAGGCTAGCTTATTAGTAGTATCTGACGTAAGTAGATTAAAACGACGCATGCACAAGAACATGGAATTGTCACTAAGATCATTAAGGACGAGCGTGATTCGTCCATTTTTATCTCTAATGACGTCATATTTCAACTTTTTCTTTCTTCGAACGTCAAGGCATCATGTTACATATTATCCGTATATAATAATGCAAATATACTAATTATTGATTTAATCAATCATAGTCTACTATGTTTGAATCCATATATATATAAACCTCGTTAAAATAATAATTGAAAACTAGTCTTTTCGGAATTTTGAATGTATGAGTTTATTCCCGGACCACCATTTTCTAATAACTAATTACACGTGACAAAAAGTAGAAGTAATCTGAATCGGTTCTTCGTTTCATGCTACAATTGGCAGACAAATGATGTGAATCGATATAGATTGTATGGTTAATAACTTTTTTTGCCATCTTTTTATAATGCTACTCCTTGTTTAATAATATTAAGAGGTGGGAAAAAAAAATATGGTTTAATAACTTAATTTATACCATTTCCATGACGAATAAATAATTAAATACCGTGGAAGGTAAATCAGTGGGTTATAACTTGTTGTGACGTGTATTGCTACGTTTCTTCGAAACGATGAAAGAGTAATAATCATAACTCAATTTTTGACGTCAGTAAGTATTCATATGTACATTGAGAATATTGGTCAAACTTAAAATTCTTGTACAAGAAGAGAAAATGCATTTTTACTTTGACGTGATTGGGTAATCCTGATCTGATGTACCAGCTAATTATTAATTCATTGCATGTAGAAAAAGCCAAAGTAGCTCACCGTTTGCTGTTGCTAGTCCAGCTTGCTTGACCATTCAAAGTGCAAAGGAAAAAGAAAAAGAGGGATAATTATTAAGAGTGGTCGATGTTTGAATATTATACAAGTAACAAGAAAATTCTTGCAAGACGCACGTGTTCCTTTTACAGTCATTTTCGTATAACAACCCCTAGCAGCCTCCTATTATATTTTGGAAAATAGCACAATAGCTGATGGGCCTGTTATGTGGGCTAACATATGTTCTTGGTTTGAGAAGTAGAAGAATAAATGTTAAGCCCACAGAAACAAGGGCTGTGTTGTATTCTCTAAAACAGCAGGTGAGAATAAAAAAAGAGAGGAGGGGAAGTGGTGTGACAACTGAAAAATAACAGATTGAAATTAGTAAAAGGTATGTTATGGTGTGGGAGCTACTTAGACTTCACTTTTGAGCAGATTAGATGTTTGTTCAAGTATTTGTTCGGTTTCCTACTTCAGAAATCAAACTAGTGCTGGTTTTTGTTGCAACATAGTAGCGGAAAACAACGCTTTGATCTAATCTTCTTAGTTTATGAAAACATGTTAAGAGTTTGGAATATGATTCGATAGAGATCTAATGAGTCGTTAGAGACAATTTGTAACAACCATTGAGCAACACCGAACTCCATTAATATTTAGGCTATGTAGACAATCAAGGATGCTACTGCGACGCTTACTTTTTCTAACTTTCGTTTCTCTTTTAGTTGATGTTTATTGGTTGAAGAAAGATGCAAATGAGCAAGCGCATTAGATAGCTTTACTAATACCTTTCCAGCACATTGGTTGCATTTCCCAAAATAGTAATATTACAGAAAAAGTAAACCAAATGGTACATAACTAGATTGAGTAAACATATTTTGTTTTGAATCTTTGTTCCTGACTAGATCACAGCACCAAATGAAGTATAACTAGAGTTATTTAGATGCATTGATGATGTCCGGCATTAATTGACTGCAAACCTAATATGAGGATGGTACCTTAAATATTTTTAATGTAAAAAGAATGAGACACACTCTCACATTATGAGGATGCCTACAAGATATTTGTTGGCCCACCCTCCGAAACAGTCTACCTAATCCACAAACTTTGTTCCTAAGCAAAAACTGCGACTAGTGAGACTATAGTCTCACCACCAAACCAAAGAAAACTAACAGACCTTGCTTGAAATTGACTACATTTTTCTCAAACTCTTAAACTGTTTTCCAATTTTGACTAGAATCAAAAGCTTTGAAGCTTTTTTTTTTTGAAATATTCCTGACAACTTCATGAACAAAAATACTCCATTTTCAAACCAAATTACACATAACCAAGTAGTGAAACTGATACCATCTTTCTAAAGAAGAAAGAACAAAAGCATGAAAGATTTGATTATTTCCTTTTTATCAGAAAACAGTAAACATCGAAAGAAAAAAAAAAAAGCATAAAACTTTTTAAAGATCGATGCTTTATTACGCGTTCGGATTCCAAAGCCTCCAAAAACTGGAACTGAACAAACCCAACACGTCCGGTAACACCTTCCTCGCTAATCCCTTGTGTCCACTCGCCTGAAACACCACCTTCGCTTCTTCAATAACCTCCTCCTCCACGTCATCATCTCGCGTCTCTTGCTCCTCCACCTCAGCTTCACTCACCCTCCCCGGCGAGTTCTCAGGAGACGACACGTGTCTCTCCGAAACAATATTTTCAATCACCGGCGGGACAACTTTCTCTTTCTCTTTCTTCTTACCTCTTTTAGATTTGTTTCGAGAAGTGGAATCTTCGGTGAGATGGTGATTCTCAAAGGCCTCGATGATGTCGTGGATAAGCTCACGGTTCGGAGAGGAGTCCCATCTGAGCCAGTAGTTAGTGTAACAATCGAAACACTCGCAATCGAAGACAGGTGGCTTATGGTTTCTGCTAGATTTGTTCTTCTTCTTCGTAGCCGTCTTTGTCTTCTTGTTGTTGGAGTCAGTGGAGATGGTGGTGGTTCCTCTTGTGATTAAGTAAGCGAGAACTTCTCTGTCTTCAGCTGAGAGGACGGAAACTAGAACCAGAATCGTCGCTGGGAGAAGCTTGAGGATAGAGAGAGAGTGGTCTTCGTTGAGGTAGTGAGATGACGAAGAGGATGATGATGGTTGTTGAGTAGGAGGAGGTGGAGAGGGGTAAACTTTACCTTTCTTCTTCATTTTCATTGTTCTTCTTGGGAGAGACGACGATGATGAATGATGGATGAACAGTCTTTTTTTTTTCTCTCTGCCTTCACCAATGTCAGTGGAGAGAGAAAGAGGTTTATTTTTGTTTTTACTTTTAAAGATAAGGAGGAGAGACAGATAATATATTTTTTGAGGTTTATTTTAGTAAAATTATAAGGCCCACGTACGGCCCACTTCACCTATCTTTTCCCAATAACCATGCAAGTTTTTTTTTTGTTTGCCTTTTTATTCTTTCCATACTTTTTTTTCGTGTTTTGTCGTATTCTTTGTGATACAGTTGAGAAAAGAATTTTAACTTACTTGGATTGATGTTTGTTTTCTGTAATATGCTACTGTTCTAATGGTTCAATGTGTACGTAAATTTCCTAGTTTTATATTTCACACTAAACCTTTCTTTTTCAGAAAACAAATACGATTGAAGGTTTAAATTTATAGTATAGTATTTGAACTGGTAAAATAATTTAAAGTCAGTGTTATCAAATCCTATTTGATTTAATGCATATGTGAATGTATACAAAACAAGTTGTGGATGTTATTTTTTTTGTTAACGGGATGTTACAATGATTTAACATCAATTTCATTAAAAAATGTCTTACATGAGTGTCATGGTTCTTTAACAGTTTATCATTAGCATAAGTTATTCCAGGTATTGGTGACAATATGTATTTTCTTATTTGTTACTTAAAAAGATATTTCCGAAGAAAAACGTGTTCATATACTTAAACATTTGGGTAGTTGATTAATAATTGGATACCCGTTAATAAACTAAGTTAGAATGTCTTCTGTTTTATTATATTGGTCAATCATAGAGTATGGATATATGTTATGGTATCATCGATCAATGATGAGAATAATTCGATGGTTATAAGTTCTTTGTTTCTTTCTTAAGAATTCGACCTGGAAAAATATTTTTTGCTTTACTTTATCAAGATTCTGAATATAATTCATAGCTAACTCCTAATGATTAGCTTGTCTTTTCAAGGAGCTCTTTTATCTTCAGATGCACTTTACAGTTTTTAAGATTCGGATGGATTTGTGTTCACTAATTCTACCTGTCCAATCAGGACTAAAGGCCCATTTATATTTGGGCTTTCAAAGACAAGCACATCATTGTGATCTCTATAATATTATTTGAGAAGTCACTTTCTTAGGTGTCACGCTCACGTTAACTCTCACGCTGGTTGATTACTATGATACCCTTATTGAATTAAAAATATATTTAAATATTATTATTTCCTTTTTAAAATCTTCCAAATAACAATATAAAATAAAAAGGAAATATTTATAAAATTTACAAAACTATTTAAAACAGAAAATAAGTATATATATAATATGGTTTCATAAAAAGAGAAAGTTTACAAAATAGTAATATTTAACTTAAATATATTTTTAAATAACATAAATTATACTTTTAAGTAATAAAATACTTTATATCTATATCTTCTTAGATGAAAAAAATATTTGTATATAATGTGTTTTCATTAAAAAAGTTCATACAAATAATCTTGATATTAGAAAAGAAATATTTTTCTTTAAAAATAATTTAAAC